AGGAATTAATTTTGATTTGGAATTGAAACACAGTCAGGAAAGGATGTACAATACTTATTTTTAAACAATTTGCCCTTTGACTTTATCGTTGATTATCAAGAGAACATCAATGCCACGATATCAAACAATTAAATATTACTTAACTATTGAAAATTATTCAACGCTAGCCAGAGCATTATGCATGTAAAATTTATTTTCCCTGAAAATAAGTAAAAAAAGTAGCTTGTGATAAATAATAATCCTGTTTAAAACGACTCAGTGGAGCCAACTTATGAGCTTTAGCACTTTGGCATTAGAACCTGAACAATCATAAATATAGACGAAAACAATTCAAGTCAATTTTACTACTTGGAAATCGATTTTTCACTTTGCAACTGAGCGAGCAACCAACAATGACACCGGGAAAATGTTGCTTAATCTCATTACCAGAACAACTGGATCGTGTTCAAATCCTTGTCCCTTCTAGACCGGAACTATTTATTTAGGACCAAATTAGGAAAGCCCTAAATAATTGTTTTTTCATTAAAATAAATTGAAAATGTCTCGATCAAGATTTATTCACGGCTGCACTATGAAGTAGCGAACATATTTTAGGTTGTGCAGCACAATGTCAAGTGATTAGGGTTACAGATAATAAAGAATGTTCTTTAAAATGAAGTAAATCATGTTACAAAATTAATGTATTTGTGAGAACATTATCAAAAATAATTTGCTTAATATCAGTCTAAGTCAAAGCCCATCGCCAGTTTTATTTTTATTTATATGTGGAAAACCTTGCCATAAGCTACTCTTCAAAATTAGAGCGATGACTTAGCGAGGCCATCGCTAATAATGTTTTCAGAAATCTAGTAAGATATTGTATTTGCAGCTTAAGATCTACTGCTTGCTTTCTGCTGTGTAATAGTAACGATTTAACGATAGTTTCCACTGTCCAAATATCAGCGACATTTCGCATCCATATGCCTTCTATATGCATTTACTGATTAACATGACCTAATAGAGATGCATCTGCACAAGGTGCATTATCTATCCTAATTATAGATCATTAAGGGTGGTGACATGTGTTCAAAACAGATTTCCTAAATGGATTTACTCAACACCATTGCTGACATTTGCTTAGAAATTGGCCAATTTGCATCCAGTCGTATTATGAACATTTATGACTAATTATTACATGAATGCTACTAATGATATATATACGACTAGTATATTGCTTACACAAGGTAAGTACAGAGCAAAACAACAAACGTAATTTAATTTCATGAGTTAAACTTTTAATTACTCGTTTGTTGAGCGACAAATAATACTCGATCTGAATGTAATACTTTCAGACTTAAAATAATGTTCGACACAAATTTGTTCTTTGAGTGAGAAACTTTTCTTTCAGAACTTTTCTTCAAATTAAGAAAACGAATATTTAAAGCTTTAAAAAGAACACAAAACTTTCTCTGACTATATTAAGGAATTAACAGACCGATTCCCGCTATAAAATCCTAATATTTATCTGATATATTATTATGACTATGACTAGTAACATTTGCTGCCCTATTTTATGTCTTTCCCGAAGGCTTCAGTTTAACATCAATTTAATTAACACTTCTGAGTGGTTGGCTTTATTATACGCTCGTTTGCTACGATTCATTCCTATCAATTGTTATATTTCAATAGCTCTTTGTGTTTGTGAGCAGGATATATTTTTGATGACCATGACCCAAATTGTACTTTTGTTGTCATAGATGCAACGAAACAATATCTAATCGTTTTAACGTTTCCTATTTGCTATGGAGCTACAAATAAAGACAATTTTCGTCAAAATATCTGTTTTAGTGTCGGCCTATTTATTATTCTACTGGGTTAAACTACATGCACTGGGTGAGAATTCAATTGTTGAGTGTGTTATATTTTCCCTGAGTTCAAATCTTTATCCGAAAGAGAACGCAAAATTACTATTTCACACATGTGCTAAATTATAAAATTTTCCAGTTTAGGTTTATTTATGACCATACCGCGAAAATTCGTACGTTTTAATTAGTAAGGAAACATCGCATATTTCATGAAAGTTAACCAGTTTATGTTATCCAGAATTAAACCTAAGTAACACATTTTCAGGTAGTAAATATCCATGGAGTAGCATTTGCATTATTTGTGAACTGATAATTAAAATTTGATTTATTTCGTGAACTTTTGAGGTCAAGTATAATATTAAAAAGCACAAGTTTAAACTCCACCTAACGAGTATGTAATCGAAAATTCATTCATTATTCATGCAAATTATTGAAAGTACATGAAATTCGACTCAAATAGTATTTGAAAAGATAGGAAAGCTGAATATTGTGCTTACTTGCTAGGAAAATTCTTAATGCTTCAAAATTTGGTAAAATATATGTGCAAAACTGTTATCTACATTGCATTATTTTCGTATTACCATTATTTCATTTATACCTCTTGATCGATGTACTAATCTGCTAAATGACGTTTTTTTATTGGTTTATAATTACTAAAAGTTTCATTAAACGCAAAGACGAAGAACTTGATAATTGAACTACATACAGCCTTGTAGGACTCGAAACCGGCTGAAAGTATTTGAAAGTAAGTTGCGTACAGACGGGACATTTTAAATAATTAATTTGAACAGTCGAATAGCTTATCGATTTTCTATACTAGCTTCGTAATTCGTTGACAAATGTGTCTGAAATGTGTATTTTCTGGGAAAAATGTTTTATAATTACTACCTGCTTTACCTTTGGTGATCAGAGGCATTTTCGCTGTTAGTTCTATAGTTTATGTATTAAACGTTATTAAACGTTATTAAATACTAGTTATTAGAATTAATTTTTCTGTGTGAAACATCAATTCTCGATTTCCATTTCATTAATACATATTCATGTGTACAATTATGTCACATTGTGAAAAAAAAACAATTTTATTGTTGTTGTTGTTGAGTAATGTAAAGCAACTGAATGCAATTTTGACTTATTAGAAAGTTTTGCCGCTATGGTTTAGATGGAATAATACGTTTTTCATTTGAGAGATGCGAAAAAGGTCAAAATAGATAAGAACAATATTGACGCAACAGTTAGATGCACTAGTGAAAATTTCCGATCCCAACTATTGGGTAAAATGAACTTCCCGTCTTGTAATTGAGTTTTAAGACAACAGTAAAATATGAACGTAAGAAAACGGGTTAATAATCTTCAAATTGTTCTTTCTAAGTTTTACTTTGTGTGTAAGCAGTTTGAAACTTAGAACAATTAACTTTTATTTATATTGGTATAAACCAAAAAATAAAATAAAATTTGTAATGCGATTGTAAAATCTAAAAACTCCTGATTTTTTGTATATCTTCTAGAAATGAGTTTGTAATATAATTTCTCGAAGAATTCCAACAATGCAAATGCTGTCGTATTTTTATGTATCAAATATTTTCTCCTAAAATTTGCAATTTTCTACGATCTAAGATGCGCAGGGGGGCGCATTGGGGGGAATGAAGGCCCCCATGCCATATAAAAATGAATGTCTTGTAAAATCGAACATTTTTGTTTGTCCGGTTAATTGGAATGTCGATCCACATCACGATATTCCACATTGTCCAATTGTTTTTCGGATTAGGTCGAAATGTTCCGTTAAATGATATTGGATATACTAAGCCGATGATAGAAGTAAGCCCTAAATGGGCTACAAATACTACTTTGCGTGTTAGGACGTCGTTAAATTTACCGTAGTGAATTGTTTACTGGCAAATTGATGTTGGTTGAATCTTTTGCCGGAAGCATAGGTGGCATGTCGGATACCGTAAATGGACGTCTGAAAGAATAAACAGCAATACTTCCTGAATTTTGTTCAAGCTGTGAATATATAAAATTACATATAAAGTTGTGTCAATTTTTCATACGTTTATTAAGTGTTATAGATTTTATCTCCCATTCACCGTTCCTACAACTATACATTGCCAAAACTGACTTTGGCTATTTTCACCATAACAAAGTTTTCAAAATGGGCTTCATAAAATAAATTCATAAAAAACCCTAAATATCCATGGGACCCCCCGAAGTTGCGCTACAGAAAACCAAACGAGTAAATATTTTGTGTGGGTGGACATTTGGCACATCATCAGCCAACATAATTAAAAAAGTTTGGCTCTTAAATAGGCTTCTAATTAAACACTCATTGTATGTACAAAGAGTAATGAGAAAAAACTTATATATTTTATTCTCAACTCTTAAGAACCTCGATATCTTGGAAAGGGTGATGTGAGATTACTAGTTGTAGGGAGGAACTATGTAACTACCATCCAATGTATTTTCAATCGAAAACAAAATTAGTCACAGCATCGCCATCTTAAAAACATCATCATTCCAAAAATCTCTTATCTAGGAAATAATAAAAATGCAGCTCAACATTCATACGGATAATTTTCAGAGAGACAGTCTCAAAATATCTTTTTAACTTAAGGCTTCACCCTAAAACCTTCTATAATTAATACTATGAAACATTTTTTGCCTGCCTCCCAGAAGGCGCAAATTATTGTTTTTCAAGTAGATCGTCTCCTTTAGAATGTGCGAAACTTTCAAGAACCAACCCGTTGTTTCAAAAGCCTTGATAAATACTCTTTCGGTAAATAGCTGGAATATCGAACGTTTGCGAATTATTTAGATACCACATAAAAGAACTGAAATGCAAACAGACAATGTATTTATTCTTGTTGTTGCAAAAAGTTGCCAGTAAATATAAAAGCAGCAAAAAGGAATAGACAATTTGGGAGATTTAAAAGAACTGACCCCAAAAAGAATCCCGAACAAAACTTTCCTTATAAAGCTGATTTACGATCAAAACTTTCTACATATCGATCTCAAAAGGGTGTACGAAACCCAATTTATATGAAAACAGTCTAGA